CATGTGACCAAAATGGGTGGAGCTATGGACTACTAAAAGTCTGGCTCTTGCTAGCCTGGGCTGCAAGAGAACGGAGACTCAGGCAGCACAGGTACCCAAGGGAGCTGCAGAGAGCCTGCAGCTAAATGGTAGGAGTTTGCTGAAGCCCAGGGAGACCCGGAAGGGGTTTGTATTTGATTAGTGATTGGCATAGTACCAGAGGTTTGGGTATGGGCTACAGGGGTTATGTGGAGTGGGGGTGTCTAGGAGACACCCTGAAGTAGAAGAGGCTAAGGCCCAGAGATGGAGAGACTCTGCAAGGGTCTGGGACCCAGTGGGTTGTATGGGGCTAAAGCCAGGCAGTTTAGAGGCTGGAGATAGCAGCCCTGCAATCAGGGATTTGGGGGGCTGAACCCAGTACAGGGCAAGGGCCCAGTTAAAGGGGGCGAAGAGAGTTTGGTTCAGCCAGGCTCAGGGACTCGATGGGTCAGAGCACCAGGGCTGAGGGGCCAATAGCATGAGAGGGCAGGGGCAGAGGGCCTGTGTAATATCTGAAATGCATGGGTGTGGCTAGGGGGGTTTGCAGGAGGCAATTTTAGCCCTTAAGGCAACTATGACCATAGAGGAACTAGTGGGAGAGCTGGTATCCAGAGGGAGCAGAGCCCCATAAAGAGAACTGGTGTCCAATGAGGCTGGACCCCCAAAGAGAGAGGTGGTGTCGTGAGGCTGGAGTCCCAAATTACATGGGCCAAGTTGAGCCAAGACTGAGAGCGAGGAGAGGACTTCTGCTTATGCTGGAAAGTTGAACCCAAAAAGGAGCAGAACTAGATCAAGCACCCAAAGCTCATCAGTCTCTGACGGCAGCCTCCCCACTTAATTTTTACCATCAAGGTGTAGCAGGCAAGGCAATAGGGTGAGACCCTGAGAGGCCAGAGTAGGCAAGCAGGGCAAGATGAAGGCAGCTACCAGAGGGTGTCCTGGCCACTCTTGAGGCAGGTTCTGCTACAGAAATCTACCTGACAACTTTACAAGAACTATGATGTTAAACAACGAGAGTCTCCCATGTCCCCTTCCCTCTATGGAAAATGCCTATGTCTATTCTAACCATGCATTTGATCCAATAAAAGATATCACCCACAAAAATTGTTGCTTTTTCCAACAACATCTCAACACTACCAAGGCAATTGAGGCAATTATAGCATTGCTTATTTTCAAACCTGGCAATTTAATATTGCAGTGTCTTATAATAATGACAGTTCCGTCTGCATCAGATAGTTTAAATTAAAGCCTCCAACTATAGATCAGTCCGTCACCTTTTGACTTTTAACATTTTCATACTATAACTTTTGATTATTGATGTTATTTAGATGTATATTAGAACTTGTTGCCATCTGTTAGGAACTAGAACTTATTTTGGTCTTAAAGTACCAAGTCAGATCCAACTGATTCTTTAAATAGTTAATAAAATAAAAAAATACAGCCCTTAATTATGCATACCATAAACTGGTATTTGTCAACTCTTACAGTAAAACATTGAAGACTTGTGATTTTATTTATTTTCTCACAGGTGAAAGCACTGAGTTTTATGTGTAGGCAGCGTTGTCTGTTTTTTTTTAATTCTTATGTACTATTTCCAGTTTAATATTCATAAAAAGTCTTTCCTTCAATATTAAAGTCACTGTAGTAGTTAATATGCACATGTGCAAAAAAGTTGGAACATTTCTGTGGATTTATTTTTGTCTGCATTTAATGTATGATTTTATAGCTTCAGTAGTAATTAACATTAGTTAAAACGTTGCTGCATTTGGTGACATGATTCCAGTGGTAGAGAAGTAGGTAATACAAAGTATCTCAGTTAAGATGTTTGCTGCTTTGTTATAAGAGGCTGAAACCAAGATGGAACATATTTCTGAACATGACAAAATAAACATTTGGAAGGCTTATGTGTAGTTCTGTAACTGTTGGTGGTCAGGCTTTTGTGTCGTGAAAGCTTAGCATGTATTATGAAATCTACACTTAGCCCAAACAAATGCGCAGGCCATACTGCTAGATAGATGTGCCAACATGGTGGTGGTTTCAAAGTAAAGCAGCAGTTGTCACAGAGTTTTAGCCATGGGACCTTTGAAAGCCTTAATCACTGTTTCCAAACAGAGAATGAGTGAGTGAGAGCCCTTGTCTCCCCTCCTCTTATTTTGATGTATTTTTCTAGACAATCCCTCTAAAAAGCACAGCAGCCTTACCACAGGAAATTCCATTATTTTTGTACCTCCATGTCACTCCATTTCACTAAAAATGAATTATAAAGCTAAATTTACTGATGACAAAACTCAGCTTCTGCTGTGTAGCCAATCCAGATGTGTGCTGTGTAAATGTGGGAGAGGAAGTGCTGGGGAAGCTGCTAGAGAGTAACATAGGATAATGACTGATATTCTATCCAGCTATCAAAATGATCAAAATAAAATAAATCTTAGGAGGAATATGGGATTTTTTTTATCTTTTATTTGATTGTATGGGTTTACCATAAAATGTGGGCACTTTTTATAAAAGCCTTTTATATTAAATAATATTTGGACTATTGAGAAACTACTAGGAAAAGTCTGTTTTGAAAAAATATTTGACCTGAAGAAAGCTGGTTTTGTGCCCAAAAGCACTTCTGACTTCTCTTCTAACTATCCAGTAGGTCCAATAAAAAATATCACCAAAAAATCCTTGACTTAAAAACATGAGCTGTTATGGACACTAATTAACCTACATACAAATTGCAAGTAATTTCCACACTGACAGTTTGAGAGTCTCTACTGATTAATTTCAAAATGGTTTCACTGTAGGAACGAAGTGGAAACCTGTCGAGCAACCAGAATTTCATGATGGTTTATTTCTGGGGATGATTGAAAGAATTTTATTTTCAATTTGTCCATTAGCCTAAATCATTTAGACCAGTAATTCTCAACCAGGTAACTGCTGCACTCAGGGGCCCTGTGAGATCCTTTTAAGTTTACAGTGGGGTGCTTCACAGTATTAGTACTGTTAGGTATACAAGCATCTACATGCGACTCATAAGATAAATCCATTTATTTCAATTGATTAGCTATAGGCTGCTTGCAGACACTAAAAAAACCCAACAGCAATCCCCCCCCCCCCCCCCCCCCAACTGCTTTGTTGGAAGAAGCAGTACATTACTTCAACCCAGCTCTATAGCATCTGTAAAGAGTGGGCACTTCAGTGGCACTTCTTGGCACTTTTAGCTTAAAAAAAAAAAAAAAGCTCCACTAAAGCACCTAATCTTTACAGATGTCAGGCAAGCCAGGTTGAGGTAACACACTGCCTCTTCTGGGCATATGCACCGCTTTTAAAATAAAGTGCTGTGGTTTTTTGGCTTTTTAATGTCTGCAAGCACTCTGACCTGTTATGGTCCTTTTGAGTTTTTTACAACAGAAAAATATCTCTATTATTTTTTTATAATCAAGGAATGATTGAAAGCTAGCAGTGGGCATTTTCTGAGGAGTGCCTTGATTCTGACAAGAGGTGTGCCTTAAGTTGAAAGAGGTTGAGACCATGGCTTTAGACTAATCTAGTGAAATATTTTGGTTGTTCAAGTCATACTTGGAAAAAAAAAAAAAAAAAAGCATTTAGATTGCTACTGACAAGAGAATTTGTTCTTAGAATAATAGTCAACACCACATTGGATAAAAATGGCATTTGGCTACCAGGATTGGAAAGTTTGGAAATAGTCCCATTACTAGCATCTGCTCCAGTACTAACTAACCCTAAGCTATAGCCTGACTAGTCATCATAGAGAACAAGAAAAAAGGGAGAAAAAATTAAAAACACCCCCCCCCCAACTATACTCTTTCATCATCAAGCAAGGCTGTTTTAACCTCTATATTTCCTTTTCGATTACTGTTTTGCAGCCCTTCGTTTGTGGTCATTTATCTGTCTAAAGTCCTCAGTTCTACGAGATCGCACCCCTTTTCTCTAATGTCTTGATAGTGCTAGACCCTCCAGTGCTTCCCTTTATAAATAAACATAGTCAAAGAAAATGTGTTCTTGACATTTTGAGGCATTAAAGGTTAATTCCTTATTACTCTGAAATATTGAGTGAACAGTGACTACTTTTACTCTGCTCTAAGCATTGTGCAGACAATGGGACTCTGATGTCAGTGAATGTCCCAAGGTGCTACCATTTTTTAAAAACATTTATACTGTTGTTTTGCATATGAGGTACATGCCTATTCTTCAGTTATGTAGCAAACAAGACATTTCTCATTGGCTCCATCAAAGCTAGCCCCTGGGATCCTGATAGTGAATTGTAGTTATGTCTTGAAGCAGTGAAGTGATGAAGTTGAAGGCAGATTTCAGATAGCCACCACTGTGGTGAAAGAGTGAGACTTTTTGTATAGGTTACTCTTTTTGAGACCAGAAGAATTTGTGTGCCTGTGAAAACTTTACACAAACTAAAACAGGACTTATTTTTTCTTCTAAAATGCCACACTTTAAAATAACATATTGATGTGCGGCATTTTAGAAGAAAAAATAAGTCCTGTTTTCTTCTGTAATTATTTTGTTTTCTAATGTGAAATTCTGAAACCAAAATATTTTGTAGTTTGACATGTCATGCCTCTGGGTGTGGTATACTGCACATGTAAGACAATGATGCAATGCAGAGAATCACTTGTTTTTTTGATATCCTATTTTAGCATTTGTGGAATGCCTAGTCTGTCACATTTTACGCAAGAATATTTGTGCTTACACTTGCCTACTTGTTCATTTAAAGTGGGAACAGATGAAACAATTATAACAGTGATGGGGGAAGGGATCCTAATGCATTTTTGCTGAATTTGCTAATGTATCTGGGTAAATTGTTGCAGTTCAGGTTCACTTACTGTGAAATAGGAGCAGGCAGGCAAAACAGTTACTGTAGCTCAGCTTATATATTCTTATACCTTAGAGCATAAAATATAATTATTTGTCTGTCCGTGCTGTACTTGATGATAATTATCATTTCACTTTCTATCTTTTAGATTATTGAATCTTTGGGGATTATAATTTATAAAGCGTTGGACTATGGTTTGAAGGAGAATGAAGAACGAGAGCTCAGTCCTCCGTTGGAGCGGCTTATTGATCATATGACCAACACAGTGGAAGCAGATGGGGGTAAAGATGAAGGCTATGAGGCTCTGGATGAAGGGGTGGAGGAAGATGATGAAGATGAAAAAGAGGTTGAGGTCATTCACTCCTATAAAGATGTTATGAAGGTACAGTAATGGTCAACTTAAGTGTTACTTCACTGTTAAAAACTTTGTTTATTCGTAAAGCAGCAGATCTGTTTCCTGTGCTAGCTTCATTTGTGATTTTGCCATATGTGATAGATCAGTTTCTTTAGATAATGGTTGCTTGTAAATATAATGATCTGGTAGTATTTAATCTTTTACAGTAAATAACAGAAAGTGAAAGATCATCTGTTGTTCCTTTTACTTGATATCAGGATATTCTGTAAGCACTTCATTCTGATTTTTGTCTACCAGATGAATGTTAAGCCTCATGGTATGATAGCTGCTCTATTCTTTTGAACTAAAAGTATCAAAATGAGAGAGTTCATTTTCAGGTAACATTCACCTACACATTAGTGCAATGTTCCTTTAGTTATTCTCTCCTCACCCACTTAAGGGAATGACTATTCTTAAGATTAGCTCATTTGTGTACTGTGACTCAGAGTGCCATATTTCACTGCTAAGAATTGTGATTACGATTCCTGACCCTAGTAGTGACATTTGGGATATATAGCATATATGCTTTAAGTACACTGGGCTCTCTAATATCAGTTTTCCTTCTCTTGACAGTCACTTCAAAGTAGGTAAGCCTCTATTTTATGGTAAGAAACCTTTTTAGAGATAGAGGTGTTAGAATTGTCTGACATCTTTGTACTGGGAAGCAAGGTGTAAATAAATATGGGTATTGGATTTTCACAAATATTTTATTTTTAGTAATGGAATCTGCACACACCATCTATGCAGACTTATATTAAGAGTGTTGTGTAGACTAGAGGATTGCAGATCAGGTTACTCTTATGTGCCAAGATCTGTGAGGACATGGACAGTGGAACTTTCAGCCCTTTCAAGAGAACTTTCAAATGGGCAGCAGCAGGTACATTCAGACTGTGTGAATAAGCTGAGAACGATTCAAGTGCAGAAAACCCAGCTACAGCTTTAACCCTGAATGAAGGGGTTAACCTAGCTTTTCAAGGTTAAGGATCAAGGTAATTATCCAAGGACCAGAGTCTTAGCTTGGCTTTCCTCAGAAATGGAAGATGGGGACAGAATGGCCAAAGATAGCATAAGATAACAGATTTCTCAGGAACAATAGGCACTTGTCAGACTACTGAAAGCTGCCCTTGTGACTGGATGAAGATAATTTTATTTTGACTTTTTAAAGCCTTTATTATACAAATATTTAAAATTAAAACTTAAAAACAAAAAGTGAAAGTGCATCCATCCCAGGTGGAACATAAAATGCTTGATAGTGACAAAAAACCCCGTATCGCCAAGAGATTGAAACCTCCTTCTCCCCTGCCCCTCACCTGATTCATCGTCCGCCTTACAGAGTGCCCCCACAATGGTCCAGCACATTACAAACTGTTCTACATTTTGTTGCAAGGTGTGGTGACCAAATTCAAATGTCACACATGCCTGAACCAAGAACTGGAAGAGTTGGAAGGTGTCATCAGCTGGTCGCTGCATACTGGTTTCTGCAGCTTTTCAGAGTTGCTATCTTGGCCTG